CATTAGCATATGCCACACCCCCTGACATCAGGGGCCCGGCGGTGGACCTGCAAGGCCGGCGGGAGTGCAAGGAAGCCCCGCGAAGGAAGGCCCTCCCTGGCCCCAGGCAGGCAGGGGTGGGGAGAGGCAGGGAGGAAGCAACTTACCCTCCCTCTTCTCCTGCCTCCTCCTGGCTGAATGAGGGCCGGAAGTGGGGCGGCCGGAAGCAGGGGGCGGGGCTCCCCCGCGATCCCCCCCCGAAATGACCTCTGCCTTTAGCTACCAACGTCTTCTGTTCAACTCTTTACACATTCTGTTCTTAATAATTAGTAAAGCACATTAAGTTATTCTTAACATCCCAATATTTCTCTAGATACTCTTTAAAGTCCATCCAGTCTGCAAAAAACTCGGCCTTCCTTATAGTCCAACTCTGGCAGCCATACATGACTACATCCCCCTCAAAAAATGTTAAGTGCCCTCCACGCCTGAGAGGAGAGAATGAAGATTCTCATTTACTTCCCACAATTAGAAAACACACCTTTAGACATCTCTCTGCCATTCTGACATATTTATTGCTTTACAGCTGTTGACCTTCTAACCGTAACTTGTTATTTAGTTTTCGCTTTGGGTATCTTGAACATCATCACGTTACATGTTATTTTTGCTGAACCTTACCTTGCCATTCCAATGTATTTGAAAAAGTGAAAGCTCAAACCTTGAATAAACCTTTGTTGGTCTTTAAAGGTGCCACTGGACTCTATTTGTTCTACTGGTGGAGAAGGGAAATATGCAGACACCCTTTTCTCCTGTTTCAGATGGTATAAGGATTCAGAAAGACACCCCCTCCCCCCCGCAGATTTTTTCCCTGCCTGGTTTGTATTCAGCAAGGTTGCCGAGGTTTATATTCATGCCTTTAAAAGGAAGGGGTCGCACAGGGTTCCTTTCAGGCCCCCTAACTGATAGACCGGGAAAAGTTACATTGGGAGGAGCGCTTCCCCCAAGTGTAAAAAGGCTGTTTGTTGTCAGATTGACACGTCCTTCACAGGAATATGTGCCAATTCTTCTCCTCTGAACTAAAGTGGCAGGAAATTTCACTCACCAAGCTGAGCTGTCCTACCCTTTTCTAAACAGAGCTTGCCCATACCCAAGGGAATCTCCAGCACTATGCAACTGTAGCCTGACTGTTAAGACAACAGAGCCATTAAAAACTCCGAAACCGATTCTGGCATAAGCTTTCACAGGCCACAGTGCGCTTCGTTATACACACAAAATCGCCTCTGATTTTTTTTTTAATTTATACCTCAGCCTTCCCTCAACGGGGACCCAAAGCAGCTTCCAATAGTGTTCTCTGTTCTTCCACTTTATCCTCACAACAATCCTGTGAGGTAGAACAAATTTAGAGTCCAGTGGGGCACCTTTACGACCAACAAAGTTTTATTCAAGGTTTGAGCTGTCGTGTGCAAGGCACACTTCTTCAAATACATTGGAAAGGCAGGTAAGGTTCAAATTTATAGACGGGCTGAACAGCAAATTAACATGTAACATGGTGATTAATTTGCTGTTCAGCCTGTGTCTATAAGTCTGAACTTTACCTGCTTTCCACTGCATTTGAAAAAAGTGTGCCTTGTACATGACAGCTCAAACCTTGAATAAACCTTTGTTGGTCTTAAAGGTGCCCCACTAGACTCTAAATTTGTTCTGCTGCTTCAGACCAACACGGCTGACTAATCCTGAGAGTGACTGGCCCAAGGTCACCCAGCGAGTGTCCGTGGCACAAGTGGGATTCAGACTTGTTGTCTCCCAGATCCTAGCCTGACCCTATAAGCCAGAGGTGTCAAAGATGCGGCCCGGGGGCCGGATCAGGCCCCTGGAGGGCTTCTATCAGGCCTGCAATGGAATTGGCTGTCTTCTGCTGCTTCTTCCAGTTCTGCTGCTGCTGCTGCTTCATTGTAGGTTTGCAGCTGACAGACACACACCTGAACAGCAGACTCAGGATTGCGACAGCACAGACATTTTGATGCAATGATTCAGAGCAAGAGGTGTCAGTTATCAGACACTGTTAAATAAACAAAATATTGCAAGAGTGCTAATGTTTTAAGCATGTTTTTATTTTAAGTACAAAAAAAAACCCTTTGTGTTTGTGTCCTTTATAAAGTTTATATCTCCGCTACCCAGCATTACATTTTATGACGCACACAGCCCGGCCCAACAGGGTCTCATTTATGTCAGATCTGGCCCTCATAACAAATTAGTTCGACACCTCTGCTCTAAGCACTGCACCACACTGCCTCTCCGATTTTAGGCTGGGTATATATATACACACGGAGCTGCGGTGGCTCAAGTGGTTAAGACGCTGAACTGCAGGCTGTGGAAGGTCAGTAGTTCAGCAGTTCGAGACCTGAGTGTGCCGCATGATGGAGTGAGCTCCCATCTCTAGTTCCAGCTCCTGCCAACCTAGCAGTTCGAAAGCAAGAAATTGCAAGTAGATAAATAGGTACCACTTCGGTGGGAAGGTAACAGCGTTCCGTGCGCCTTGGGGTTTAGTCATGCCGGCCACATGACCACGGAAACGTCTTCGGACAGCGCTGGCTCTTCGGCTTGGAAACAGAGATGAGCACCGCAACTCTAGAGTCGGATTCGACTGGCTTTCGAGCAAGGGAACCTTTACCTTTACTTTATATATACACACAGATGCAGTTTAGCTTTACCTGGGTAGGTCTCATCACATACCTCCCAGGGTCTCATCTAGTCGGGCCTTAGGTGTAAAACACCTAGACAAGGGCAAGTCACTTTCTGTAGTGGGGAAAAAGCCACTCCCAATCTGGGGTTAAGTCCAGGAGCTGCAGCCTCGAATTGAATCATCCGTTCCCGGCAGCTTCACACACCAAAGCCTCCCTCTAAACCACTTTGTTGAAATTACGGTGTTCCGCAAAGGATGGCTCTGTACCTTGGAGTGTCTGGGAAGAAGGTCCAGGACATCACGTTTGCTCATAGCCCAGTGGAACGACAGGCCTGGGTTGGCGTTCCCAAAGGAGAATGGCGTCAGACTACTGGTCAGTCCCACGACGTACACCGGCATCTGCAAAGGCAAGTCTCCCTCATGTTTTTGTGGGAACAGCATACTGGGGTTTGGTCTTCAGTGCAATTGTGTGCGTGTCTGTTAAGTGCTGTCAAGTCGCTTCCAACTTATGGTGACCCAGGGCTATTTTTGGGCAGGAACGCACAGGAACGGAGTTCCGGCTGGCTCCCAAGTTGGCCACGCCAGCAGGAACTCATTAGCATAATAGGCCACACCCAACAGCAGGAACACATCAAGATTGGCTACATTAGGGGGTGTGGCCTAACATGCAAATAAGTTCTTGCTACAAAAAAAGCCCTGGGTTTTGACAACAGACAAGGTAAACAGAATAAGCAGCAAAAGGTGGGTGTGGCTGGATGGCCACACTTCTGGTAACATGGGGGTGCGGCCTAATATGCCAATGAGTGGTGTAGTCAGGGGGTGTGGCCTAATATGCTAACGAGTTTTTACTGCTGGGTGTGGCCTATGCTAATGAGTTCGTGCTGGACTTTTTCTACAAAAAGAGCCCAGGTGACCCTATAAATTAATGGCCTCCAAAATGTTCTATCGTTAAGAACCTTGCTCAGGCCTTAAAAACGGAGGGCCGTGGCTTCCTTGCTTGAGTCAATCCATCTCCTGCTGGGTCCTCCTCTTTTCCTGCTGCCTTTAACTTTCCCTAGCATTGCTGTATTTTCCAGTGGAAAAGAGCAAGAGTCCAGCGGCACCTTAAAGACTAACAGAATATGGGGCAGGGGTATAGGAGCTTTCATGAGTCACTGCTCGCTTCTTCCGATACTGGACTCTTGGTCTTTCCTACTGCTACAGACAGACTAACACGACTACCCATCTTCATCTGCTCTTTTGCCATGGATTATCACTAGGGGGGGAAATGTCCCATGTCGGGGTGGAAACCTCAGTAGGGGCTGATGCCAGAGGGAAGGTCAGCAGTGTTCAAAATCTGGGCAATTTCTGGGACCCATAGTCGCTGTCTCATTAGTGGCTGGGCCTGGATGACCCAAGATAGCCTGATCTCATTGGGAGACCACCAAAGAAGTCCAGTGTTATTACACAGCAGGGGTCATTTCCTGCAGGAGTGCAGCTCCGACAGTAAGGAGCCCAGGGGGCGGGCACATGCAACAAGCCCCACCCCCTGCTCCCAGCAGCCCTCAGTCAGAGCAAGAAGCAGCCAGGTAAGTTCCAGAGGGCCCCCCCCGGGCCCGCCTTCAGGTACAAGCTCTCCCTCCTCTGTGAGGGCAGATCTGCGCGTTTCCCCTCCCCATCGCTAGCAAACCAAAACAGTCCAGTGGCACCTTTAAGACCAAGTGGAGCCTGAGTGGTGGGTGTTGCCTTCTGACACACTTCCAGTGATGTCAGGGGGTGTGGCAGATGCAACTAAGTTATGCTAATACATTATGCTAGTGAGCGCCTGCACCTCTTTTTCTACGAAATGACCCCTGTTACAAAGCAAAATGCAATGGCAAAACCACCTCTAAACATCTCTTGCCTTGAAAATCCCATTAGGGGTCACCATAAGTCCGCTGTGACACGGGAGACTCACCTCCGTGCCGACTCACCTCCGTGCCTGTGAGGAGCCTGGTGGCAGGAGCATAAATCCTTATTGCTCTCAGCTGAACCACTTCTAGTTCCACTTGATCCTGTGGAGGCAAAGCAAAGGCACTGAGGTAGGAATAAAAGGCGTGGCCAGCAGGAGGGGAGAACACGCATTGCACAGATTGCCCCGGCTGATTAACAGCCCTCAGTATCCGGTTATTTATTTATTTATTCGATTTATACCCTGCCCTAGGGTTGCCAAGTCCATCTTCCACCCCCAGTGGGGGACTCTGGGGGCGTTCCTGGAGGGGGCGGGGCATCCCCGACGTGATGACATCACGTCGGGGACGTCCACCCTCCCCCCCACCCGTGTGCCAGATCTCCAGAAACGGCAGTTCCCTGCACTTAAAGGAGCCAGCGTTTCCCTTTTAAATGCAGGAGCCGGCGTTTCCCCTTTAAGAGCAGCCGCGTTTCCCTTTTAAGAGTACGAAGCTGGCATTTCCCTGCAAGCTTGCGGAGATCAGGCTTGGGAGGAAACAAGGGTTCCACACACTTCAAGGGTTGGGGGTGGGGCTTCCCCCGCTGGCCATCTGGCCGGCGGCGGGTAGAACCCCCCCCAATGGGGGAACCCTGGCAAACCGGGGGGGGGGGTTGGCAACCCTAACCTGCCCTGTCCCACAAGTGGGCTCAGGGCAGCTTACAACATGTAGTAAAACAATAAAAACAATAAAACAACTGATGGCACAATAAGCAGCAGCATCAAACCCCATGCCTCATATCAGGGAAATATAGGTGCCCCTGGACCCAATAATATTATCTTTCAGCAGGCACTGGGAGAGGGGCCATACACAGGGGAGGCCAGAATGGTTGAACGTCCGCTGCCTCAATCAAAAGACTGATGGAACTGTAACAGGTCCTGCAGGGGCCTGCTCTCAGGTGGGAGGATGTCCCACCAGGTTGGGTCCAGGGCCGAAAAAGCCCTTGCCCTGGTTGAGGCAAAGCGGATGTCCTTCGGAGGCGGGATCACCAGGAGGTGTTGATCAGAAGAGCGTAAAGCTCTCCAAGGCTTGTCTAGGGGAAGACAGTCCCGTAGGTATGATGGTTCCAGGCCGCATAGGGCTTTAAAGGTCAAAACCATAGCTTTGAAACGGATGCAGTATTTGATCAGCAGCCAGCACAGTTGGCACAATACTGGCCGAATGCCACTTCCCCACTTCCAAGTCCTGAAAAGTTCCAGGGGTAGCTACTAGATTTCGTTTTCATTGAGGTGAAGACTGTTGATGTCTTGAATCCCTATACCCTGGTTGGTCCACGTATGGATAACGGAGGCAACACAAGGGGGCATTTGTGAAAGGGAAAGTACTCTTTAGATTAGGACCGATTCCACATTTGGCACTTGCCTCCCTTTCTGTGCGGCACTGTTCCCAGAGGGTTGCCGCGAGTCTTTGCCTGAAATCTTCCCTGCATATGAAGTTTTGCACTCGTGCCACAGGCGTGGTTTCCTGCCACTTCCCCCTCCCTCTTCCCCCTCCCACTATCTTTTCTGAATTATTATTTTTTGCACGCATGCGTGGTTGCGTTACAATGAAATGACGCAAGGAGAGGAAACCTCTGCCGCCAATTCTATACATTAAGAGAAATGTAGGTGTCACGTCTTTCAGTGAGGCATGATGATCGGACTGCTGTTTTTATGCACCAGGTATTTTTTTTTGGGGGGGGGGATTAAATGCCACAATCACCATGTTGATTCTCCATTTTGCCCAGTGCTACTGCATTACTGCCTGCCATGATGGAGACTCGCTCGTTGAGACCGCTTGCTTATATCCGTTCGCTAATAGAGGTGATAGAGAAACAGTGGCCCTCCTTGAGCAACCTTATGGTTGCTGGCAACAGGAAGGCACACTTTTTTTTGGAGTAAGTGCAGTTGGGTAAATTTCTCTCTGTTAGTTGTAATTCCTGCAATTACAACTTGGCACACGCTCTGGGAAGTTAAATAATCAATGTCAGTTCCATCACACTATGTATGACGTATCTATGAGCATGCAAACAATACAAATGTGTTGTCACAGGTTTTTCCCCATGCTAAGCTAATTTCTTATATGCAGCGTGTGCCTTGATGCCTTTCACCTGTGAGTAGTCATAACAACCAACCACAACAAACTCTTGTTCCGATCATGTGGGCTGCTGAAAGCCTTGATCTCCAGTGGATCCAGTGACCACTCTGGATACGTTGCATAGCAACACGTAACCCTATGGAAGTTCTCATGGTCCCTGTAATGAATGCGAAACTACCAAAATGGATCAAAACGGCATATATTTTCTTCTTGAGCCGCTGTCATCACAAATTTGGCCTTTTGGAGGATATTTTTTGTCATCGGGCATGAGTAACAATCCGATATTGATCCGTGCAGGCCCGGACACCCCTGAATACATTCCTGACGTTGAAAGCGGCCCTGAAGTAGGGTTGCCAGCCTCCAGGTGGGGCCTGGAGATCTCCTGCTTTTGCAACTGATCTCCAGCTGACAGAGATCAGGTCCCCTGGAGAGAATGGCTGCTTGGAAGGGTGGACTCTATGGCACGGTACCATGCTGAGGCCCCTCCCCTCCCCTCCCCAAACCCCACCCTCTCCCGGATCCACCCCCAAAGTCTCCGGGTATTTTCCAACCCAGACCTGGCAACCCTACCCTGAAGGCAAAAAGACAGGGATAACGCGAAAGTAGATTCCAAGTGTACTTATTGAATTGTCACGGCCCACCATTTAAATCTGTGCAGAACTCTTCCCTGCAAGCACTGGAGGGCACTGTTTTACACTTCAGGCCATTCAACAGTCTTGCAGAGGCAGCCATTAAAGCCTGCACTCTGTGTCCATGACATTGGAAGAAAGCCGGCAGTGTCGCGATAACTGCCTCTCCTTCCTGTAAGGTGGAGGCTGCCCCTGCAAGGCAAGAGCAACAGCTGCAGGTTGAACTGCCAGCTGAAACTCCAGAGGAGGAAGAGGAACAAGGCCTCAGCCCACCAGCCCCTTCTACAGCCCCTTCTGTCTCAGGTACTGCAGAATGAATGCCACAGTTATTATAATCATCAATCTATCTTGAGGACAAATTTAATTGGATGCTGTAACGATTTCAAGTGATGTGTGTGTGTTTCTTTAAATGGTTGGTAAGTGTCAAAAGAACAAGGGGGTGAAAGGGGGAGATGAGTGAGTGAGGTGATTGGTTGGTGACTGAGAGTGTGTGGGCGGAGCTTGTGTGTGTGTGTATGTATATATATAGAGAGAGAGGGGGAGAGAGGGGGGGGGGAGAGAAGGCCAAGCTTTCAGTTGGAAGTCAGAAGTGAGCAGCAGCTGTCAGTTGTGGTCAATCCACACAAAGTCTGAGAAGCAGTTTTCCAATTAGAATCATATAGAGGTGCTGTGAAAGGCATTAAGATTCTAAAGGAGAAATAAAAGTCCTTCGGGGGCAATTTAGGCAAAATTTAATATTGTCAAGAGTATTATAAGAGCGTGAGGGGGAAAAGCTGACAGAGACCTGAGTAAAAAGTGAAAGATTTTACTGAGCAACTTAACAAAACATCTTGTAACCGATACGTTTCTTTTACCAATACAGTTTTATCTTGTTTATTTATTTTTATTTGATTTATATCCCACCCTCCCCGCCGAAGCAGGCTCGGGGAGGCTTACATAATATTATTACAAGATAAAACAGTTAAATTATTAAAATTGCAATAAAATAGGTCTAAAACAATACATGAAGTGCTAGCGCAATAGAACGATGGCGGGCATCCAACAGTCAGTTGGCAACATGGTCTGAGTCGTATCGGCGGAGCACAGGCTATTCAGTTGGTATAATATTGATGTTAATGTTGAAGTAATATTGTTGATACTGGGGCCAGGGCCTCAGGCCTGGTGGAAGAGCTATTTTACAGGCCCTGCGGAACTGCAAAAGGTCCCGCAGGGACCTGATGTCTTCCGGGAGCTCATTCCACCAGTATGGAGCCGCCACTGAGAAGGCACTGGCCCTTGTCACTGCTAGCCTGGCTTCTTTGGGGCCTGGAAGAGCTAAGCGATTTTGGGACCCCGATCATAGTGCTCTCTGGGGAACATGTGGGGAAAGGTGGTCCCTTAAGCAGGTAGGTCCCTGACCGTAAAGGGCTTTGAAGGTAAGTACCAACACCTTGAACCGAATTCGGTGTGCTATAGACAGCCAGTGCAGTGCTTTTATTGTGAACCCAGAGTCTTATCCGCAGAACCACAAAGTCCAACAAAGGAGTTTTAGAGCTTGGGCACAGTTCTGTGGGAAAGGTTAGTTAAAGACTGGAATTAAATTCCTGGTGGCAATGATAGACACTGAGTGAGAGAAAGAAAAAAACAAGAAATTTAAAACTACATCACACCTAACCACACAAAATAAGAGAGAGGTATCATCGCAGATGCCCATCGTCACAAATGCATGGACACCACAGCTCATTCGTGGAGTGCACTGACAAACCATGGGGGCTAAGTGTTCCTTTCTTTTGTTTAGATACTGACAGGACCAAGACGGCACAGCCAGTGCAGTCTGCTTTGACGGCCCCACCTGAACATTTTGGAATGGGTCAAGGAACAAAACCCGACCAAACAACACCTGGCGAAGAGGGAGTTCCACCCTCTGGTGCAGAACCATGGGCTGCGGAACCAGGTATGAACCACAATACGACGAGGTGATGTAATCCGTGGTGAGGATTCCCACAACACGGTCCACCATGCAGCAAGTTATACAGTGAAAATGTTTTTTTTCAAATAACCATAACATTTCCATTGCAGGACCGTCTAGAAGCCACGTGTTAGCAGCTTTGTACTCACTGGAGAGGCTGTGCGAGTCATCCTGTGAGTATGCGGCCATGGATAACAAACGTATGGATGTGGGTGATGCACGCATGTTTACGTGACGCATTCTGATCTCCTCCAAACAATTATTTATTTCAGTCAGCGCTATTAATAAGAGGCTGGATGCCATGGAGAGGAGGCAGAGGCGCTTCGAGAGAGAGCTGAGGTCTCTGCGAGCAACAATCAATGCACAGAGGAATGGAGGGGGGGCAGGGTCTACTGGGTATTAAAACCACCGCT